AAACATCAGTCATCATGTCAAATAGTCGATGCCACTTTTTACAGCTCGTTCCTATCGATTTTCTAAAAAAATTGACAAAATTTTAACTCGAAAACAGTCGAAATTTTCGATTTTTTTGGAATTTCGCGGAATGATACATCATTCGACGCTATATTCTATGCTGATTACGAATCTGTTATTGGTTTTGAAGAATAAACGTATTTTGATGTTGAAATCGTCGATTTTCTAGCCGAAAATACTGAAAAAATTGACCTGAAGAAAATTTGGTCAACTCGTCTTGAATTATACATCAGAAGAATCCATTTTTCATGCTGATTACGAATATGTCATTGGTTTTCAAAATAGATGAAATTTGAGAAAAAATTCGCCGCCATCAGGGTCCCAATTGCTAAATTTTGAGGTCAATTTTATCGATCAGGAAAGCATATAATTGAGTGATATTTTCGCGCTGAGTAGGTGTGCGTCAACCCCCCTTTCTTTCTCTACCCCCATACCTTCATACCCAATTCCACCGGCTCCGCCGGGACAAAGCCCCTTTAAGCTGGAAAAGAATGCAAAATTGAAAAAAAATCATGAAAACATCAGCGAATCCACTGTTTTGCATCCCTCCCCTCCCACGACCCTCCCCTCCCTTCGTGAAACATCAGTCATCATGTCAAATAGTCGATGCCACTTTTTACAGCTCGTTCCTATCGATTTTCTAAAAAAATTGACAAAATTTTAACTCGAAAACAGTCGAAATTTTCGATTTTTTTGGAAAGATTTTCTAAAAAAATTGACAAAATTTTAACTCGAAAACAGTCGAAATTATCGATTTTTTCGCATTTCGAGGAATGATACATCATTCGACGCTATATTTTATGCTGATTACGAATCTGTTATTAGTTTTGAAGAATAAAAGTATTTTCATCTTGAAATCGTCGATTTTCTAGCCGAAAGTGCTGAAAAAATTGACCTGAAGAAAATTTGGTCAAATTGTCTTGAATTATACATCAGAAGAATCCATTTTTCATGCTGATTACGAATCTGTCATTGGTATTGAATAAAGATAAAATTTGAAAGAGAAAAGCTCCGATCAGGTGCCCAATTTCTAGATAACTCAGAAATCATATGCGTTAAAACAATAAGATAATTTATCAAAAATATGGTTGGTTCGTTGATATTTCAAGATTTTACTTTGAAATACTCAATATTATTATCATTTTGTAGTTTTATAAATACTCTAACGAGGCAATGATATCCAATAAACAATCAATATTTTTCTATGACTTTTTCTAAGATCTCGTTAAAATACGATTGTCATAGAATACTCTATCGTCGTCTTATCAATGACAAAACAATGAGTTTTCATAGTTTCCTTACTAAAAAAAAAATTTTCGAGACTTAATACCTCTATTTTTTCAAAAATAGATTGAGATTGATAAAAATATATATCCTCTGATCAGGTCATTTGAATTGTTCAGCAGTTCATAAGATTCTCCATCAATATTCAATGAATTTGGCAACTGAAATCTAGACAATTATAGCGCTTAGGCACTTTTTAGCAATCCTACTAGCATCTGACAAGTATGGCTCATCCACCATGCTACTAATTCATATTTCTCTATGAAACATTACTCACAATATATTCACTGATAGTTGAATCATATGACATATTAAAAACGAGTCTAACTTTTACTCTTGCAGAATGTAGGCAAATGCTAAAAAATGGTGCTAAACGGGCTCTGTAAGTACTCCAGTGTATGGAATCATGGTAATATCCTAATGGTATGTGTCTATGATCGTTATCTACTTGTTCACAAAGTTTCATTACGATATCACCCACCTGAAGTGGTTCGCGCCAATTTTCCTAGCCCATTTATTGATTTGGGCTTTGCCCAATACCGCGCACCATCACTTACTACGTCGGATCTTGATACAACCAACGTCATTCGATAGAGCATGAAAAAATTACCCTAACCCCCCCTGTATACTTACCCCCCCTTTTATATATATCCTNAACAATGTAGTAACGAATAAAGGAAACCATTGATGAAGCTACGCAATGATGAAATGGATTAAAAGGTATAGGATAGCCTATGGTCAAAAGGCATCCAATAGGAAGTGTTGAAATACTAAATGGGGTTTTTTGGTGGGGTGCAATCGCCGAATCGAAACAGGAATGTACCAGTATAATGTTCTAACATATAAAAGCAATAGAGCATGCTACTAGTTCAATATGTGCTGCTATATATGCCTACAGCTACAAGCAGTCTGTCGATTTTTGCTAAAACCTGAATTTCTGCCTCAGCCATTGTGAAAATGGTAGGAAACTGAGCGTAATGGGCCCTAAATGAATATTGGGCACGTATAGGAATCAAAGGGGTCAGTTGGACTATGACTGAAGTAACTCAAAATTGGTCCATGTTTTAGGGCCCATCTCGAATCGAAGGGTGAGGTGAGAGACTAGCTGCCATAATCTAGATTTCATCCTTACTAAAGAAATTAACAGATGAGTTATGAAAACTAAACGATTTCAAAAAGAAATCACAAGATAAATTCATAATTGAGGGTGAGATAAATAACCACAATCAATTTTTGTGGGTGTGAGTGTGGGTGTATTATTTTTAAAGGAATTAACCACGATCTAGATTTCGACCTTTCTGAAGGGTCACCATCATATAGTTGAAGCGCTGCATAATTCAATGAATTCAATTGAAAAGAAAAATTCAAAGAAAAATTCTTCTCACTTTTAATAAACGAAAAAGTAAAACTAGAGATTTCTTAAATATAAATATATAGTTGAAATTCAAAGCATCACGCGACGTGTTTCGAACTTGTACAAGGGTCTTTTTTTATTAAATATCTCAAATTAATTAAAAAATTAATTTCATAATTGTATTCTATCATCTCCAGGGCTCGAGTAGAGAAAGTTATTCAGCTTTGGATTCAAAAAATAGCCAATATGTTCAGAAAGGACTAAAACGTTCCATGTTTTAAAATCTAAATTTAAATCATAAAAGTGAGTTCGATGACTCACTCTTCCTAGAACAAGAAAGCTTTAATGAAAAATTCTCGACTATCTGGTTTCGGTTCGTCAACCGTGCATGTTCAGTTACGTGCAATAATACATATTTGAAAACTAGAATTCGTTTTTGAAATAGTGGTCGCGTTCTTTTTTAGTACGCTTTTTATAGGATCAATTTAAAACGTTCGGAGAATACTTTCAAATATAATTGGAAAGAATAATAGGAAGAAAAAAAAGCTATAGAATTTTTTTCTCTTCTATTACCCTTAAACTTGTTATGTTATGGTTTATTAGAATTGCATTTGAAATGGCGACTGAAACGAATTTTTTAGTAAAGAACGAAGAATGAAAAAAAAAATCTATCGAAATGAGAGCGTTTGTTTAAACTTCATGTTAGTTTATTCATTTGAGAAAAAGTCTACCTTTAAATTTGACGATTCTCTTTCATTCACAATAGCATTCTCATTGTAGTTCAAATTCTCGACAGTTTCAATAGCAGGTATGTTGGAAATTCGAATACTATATCTTTGACGAATATAACAAAATGACTGTCATGAAATACACTGATAATAGTATGTTTTCAGTCGATGAGGTGCCTTCAGTTTCTAGTCAAATCGTACTTCAATGCATTTCTTTCTCTAAGCAGCAAGAACGTACATGAAGTCATAGGGAAAAGAAATGGACAATGTTGAGCCTTATTCGGAACGTTTCAGGAGCCTTTTTATGTTCAGGAATATCATCGCATTCATCTAGACAGTAGTGTGACATATGTCCAAACCAAGTGTCACGTTGAAAGATGAGCATATAGTCAAAGGATTATAGTTTTCGATAGAAACTTCAACATTACCCTCATAACAATGCAACTAAATCAGTAGTAATTTAAGAAAAAAAAATAAAGGTCTATTTTGTTTTACAGATGTGCACTTGCCATGGAAGATCCATCAAATACTAGCATGTCACAGCGTATCTCAGAGCTGGATACAATATTAGAGAACAGGGTTATAGATCTTGAACACTTCACAAAAGTACATGCAAATGGCGATATGGAGATAAATTACTATGAAGAAATGCTGAATAACAAAGCTGAACAAATGAAGAATTCGCTATTCAATGATATCGAGAGTTTACAACAGAACATTCGCGCTTATCGTCCCCAAAACTCAGATAGTACTGAAACCCGAAGAAACTATGCTCAATTGGTTGAAAACTCTACTAATGCTTTAAAATTTACCACAAGCAAAATATCTCATATTTTCAGCCGTATATTGCAAGTGATTAAGGATATCTGTAATGCTATCAGTGAGAATGTTCCGAAAATTATTGATTTCATTTCATCCATATTTTCTAAATTTATTTATCCTTTATTGAGATGAAGTTATATTGTAGAAAAGCTGTCGGTTGTCTTGATGAGGATGACTCGTTTATTCAAATTTTCTTTCAGATAAATTAAAACTATAGATAGTGCCAGGAAGACAGGGTGACCGGATTTTCGTTGAAATATTGTAACAATGGCTTCCTCGCATGTAAGTAAACCATCACAATGATAGGAGTCACTTCATCTTATACTCTGCGATTTACGAAAGGCATTTGTTTGAATCTGAAAATTCATATAGATCAATATGTTAAAAAGAATGTTGTCACATTGTCTACCTTTTGAATGAGCTATAAACTAATGACCTACAAAAAGCTTAATTATTATAAAATTTATTTTTATCTGTTCCTTATTTTCAGCGATCATCGGTGATCAGTGGATCAGTCGCAGTAAGAAACATTTTCATTTCATAAACTCATCCTATTGAAATCAATCTATTACAGAAAACACACACAACGGCTTTAAAATCTGCTATTGATGGAAAACTCAAACCATTGGTTCTATTGCTGTTGAATCGAGAAAAATACAGTAGACCTGTGTCTCTCGAGCAATATGAAGAAATGCTCGAGAATGAACTGAAAGACTTTCAAGTACAGATAACTCATCAGATCGATCAATTGCAAGAAAAAGTTCGGAGCTGTAGACCGAAGACTATGGCAGACCATTATCCTGACAAAACTAGGGAAGCATACAAAAAATTACTCATATTTGTGACCGCTATGCTGGATGAAATGCGCGAATTGATTAAAACGCTTTTTGATCGGCATCGTCTTTTTGTTCATCAGATTTGGCAAGCACTGGAAGTAGGCAAGAATTGTGATGGACTGCGTCGGGAACTAGAAGCAGATATTGAACGTCATTTATCTCGATGGGAGAGATATATAAATATGATTGAAGAAAAGATAGAAATACCTGGTGATTTCTAAAAGAACAATTCTATAAGACTTCATTTTATTAAGAGTGCGTGCTTATATAAGTTTGTTTTAGATACATAAAAAGGATGGTCGACTCGCAGTTATTAAATGATTTTCGTGATCGCATACAAGACTTAGGTACCACATATTCAATTAGCGTAAAAAATATGAAAACTACTGATGACGAACTTGACAGATTAGAAGCTGAGCTGGAGGCTGCTGCAAACCGTCTCAAAGAGGAACTAGATAAGCAGCTGAAAATGGTACTCGACAAAACAAGAATGAATAAACCACCACCAGGAGCAGGACCAGAAGATCCAGAGTATAAGAAATATAAATCTCTTTTGGAAAACGTGGTGGCAGGTATCAATAATACAACCAGTTGGCTTGTATCAATCTTTCAAAGAATTCAGGGAATCATTGGTAGCATCATTGATAAAATAAAGAAAAAGGCATCCGATATTATTGATTGTATCACGAAGTGGTTTCAACACTTGGTTAACATACCCCTTTAGTAAGAAGAAGACTAATTTCTTTTTCTGTATTGTAAAAGTTGTTTGTGGAAACATTAAATGAAGTTCCAAAACGTTTACGGTTCGTTTTAGTGACATAGGCAGCCATAACACGTTTCGACCTTGCTTAAGGATCTCATCACATGGCATTAAATCTATATGATTACTTATAGAAATCAATTAGAAAGCAGATCAATCTATCTCTTAACGAAGAAGACAAATCAATCTGCTATTCTGAACTCTTGCTTTTCAGCAATCGATCAAAGTAGAATAATTAATATATTTGTGCTTGAATTAAAAACAAAATACAGGATTTTATTTTGCCGACGCGTGTCGTATCTTTTACAAGATAGTACTCTTCAGGGCGTCAGGCTTATATATATCTAGAAAAAAAATATAAAACAAATGAGTTCGAAAACAAATCAATCTATCTCTTAACGAAAAGACAAATCAATTTGCTAGTCTCAACTCTTGCTTTTTCAGCAACCGATCAAAGTCGAATAATTAATATATTTGTGCTTGAATTTAAAATAAAAATGCAGAATTTTATTTTGCCGATGCGTTTCGTATCTTTTACAAGATAGTACTCTTCAGGGCTTCAGACTTATATATATATATATATATATATAGATATATCTAGAATAGAAAACAAAAGACAATGATTATCATTAAAATAATATATTAAATTGAACAATTTATAGAGTTGATATGAATATGAACATAATGAACTCTTCATACAGACAAAATAAAATATTTGATTCTAATATAGGTTAGAACCAAAAGTATTATTATTCTACTACTTTAAATAATCTTGAATATACTGAAGGAAATCTCATCACAGTTTCCATCCATGAGACATTAGCGTTCTTTACAATCACACAATAAATACTATTGGTTTTATTCCACAATTTAATTCTGCTTAATAAATCGACTATAATTGGAAACAATGAATNCATGAATTTATAATTAAATCAATTCAAATTCAAAAACAAATCAAGCTATCTCTTAACGAAAAGACAAATCAATAAAATTTATTCATTATTTTAATAAGTTTATGAAGTTTAAAATAGCCTGTAGGCAAGTAACTGTTTTATCTATTGACGAAAATTTTGTTTTTGAATTTTCACCCTCTGTTCTTTCCCATTGAAATAAGGTAACAAAAAGACTCAATCCCAACTACTATAAAATCTTGATCCTGCTCTATCCGGTGGTATAGACCACTACAGATAGCTACAGTGATCATGCACAAATCTAACTTATTCTATTTTGAACATATGAAAACGACTCAATCGACACGAAATTCATACCACAGGGTAAAAAAATGCAGAGAAGAGAGTAATCACTCGAAGGTCGGAAGGACGTCTATTACCACTGGGCAATACCTTCCTCATAGCACATTGATATTCTTTTTTCAAGATATCAATTCAGTGATTACAAAGAATAAAAGAAAAAACAACGGAGTCTAAGGAGAGCTCAACTGAAAATGTATTGTTTCTTTTTGTGCAAATCTTGAGGGTATATAGCTAAAGTAAAACCCATAACTAAAACATAGACAGACCTGTTCAATATATGATCGACGAATTGAAAATGAAAGATATATATATATATATATATATATATGATAAAGTAATAGTAATAGAGAGTCGTACTTACTTCTTAGAGTGTAAGAAATCGAATGAAGCTATAGCAGAATCGACGGCTCTTTATATACTATCCGGAGAGAAAGTGGACTTTGTATTCGATTATTCACTGCATACCATCACGTATTCTATGAATAATGCGTATTACGTTATAATATTCCATAATTTCAAAGATTCCATCACGTATTTTGCTTAAATGGAATACCATTAACAAAACTTATAAACTATCTTGAGAGCAACTGGACTTTGAACCAAGTTGTTTATTTCATACCATCACGTATTCTATGAATNAACTGATTAATATTATTTTATCTGTTCTCTCAATCACTCTCTCTCTCTCTCTCTCTCTCTCTCTCTCTCTCTCTCTCTTCGGTACCACATAGCTATAAATACGCGTGTTGTGTTCACGTATGATCATTTTCTCTTCGTTTTCTATTCACTAACATATTCATCACTATCAAAAACATAATGCATCTTCAACTATTTGCTTTATTAGTCGTATGTGTTGCAGGTTTGTTTTTATTTCTAGTTATATTTTCAAAATTTTGATCGCGAATTCACATTGAAGTTTTCTAAATGTAATTTTTGTACTTTAGCTAATTATGTACAAGCATCAGATGATGTTACAACTGTTAATGATTCCGTAGAAGCAGTAGTAGAAACTACTATATCAAACATTGATAGCGCTCCAGGTAAGATTTTTAGCAAGCAGAAAATAACCAATAATCTATATTGTATTTTTATGGCAACAGCTGCTGCTGAATCAAAAGATAGCGACGATACTAGCAAAGGTAATTGAAATGTTTTTCTTCGCTATTGCATCATATAATCTGATATTTAATAGAAGTTGGCGATCACGAGAAAAAATTTGACCATGGTCATAAAGGCCATCATGAACACGATGCGACTATTACCATTGATGTCCACAATATTATGGATTTATTCAAAGAACAATTAAAAGAATCTGAACAACGTATTATTGCTGCTGTTGGAAAAGATGATAGTGCATCATCAACAGCATCATCCTCGTCACAAGAATCCTATCGCACAGCTGATCGTAATGCTAATAAACAAGATACAAAGAAGAAAGATGACGATGATAATGATGATTAAACTATAAAACAATCATATTAATCCTGCAAACTGATTATTTCTTCGTTTTCTTTTTGTGTTTCTTCTGTGTTAGTGCAATTCTTATACGTCTGATGTGTATGCACCCCCTGTTTCCCCACTGTTTGTATATTGCAATAAAAAAAATGACAATTTAAGGTTAAACACGAGTCTTTATATGATTCAAATTCATTTTAGCTTGATTCAATTCGTGCCGTAAAGAGCGGCATTCATTTTCAGCTTGGTTTCGTAACTAAAATACAAAGAATGAATTTTTAAAAATCACATGAGATTTTCTTGTTCTCTACCTTAACATCAGTTGTTAATCGTAATTTTGCTTGTTCAACTTGATGACGGATATCTTGAATATCATGATGAGTCCGTGTTACTTGTACAATTAAATTCTAAGAAAAATATAAGTATTGAATTGCATAGAACAACGAATTTTGTGTGAAAAATTTTACTCCAACGTCAGCTTCCTTTGTATAACCCACTTGTGTTGCATGTTTTGCTTCACCATCAATAGTTTGTATTGTTCTTTTATGTATTTGGTCTAATTCAGTTTTTAATAATAGAACACGTTCTTCTAATGTTGGAGTTTTTTTCTTTTCAATAAAATATTTTTTCTTCCACATATCACGTGCTAAAATAATAATAATTCTTTATTAGGTATTAAGAAAAATAATTCAGAAGTTTGATTTAACCTTCTTTTCGTCGTAATGTTATCCGATTATGAATATTTTTTAAATGTTTAATAACTTCTTCTCGGATTTTTTCTAAATCGACGCGACGAGCACGCAATTCTTGAAGGCGAGCACGAAGTGTATCGGCTAGAAGTAGACCAATATTTATTTAAGACACAAATTCTTTTGACCAATTGATGAATGATTATACACAATATTGATAGCTGTGCAAGTTTCTATGGTACTTAGCTAAATATTGAATAAGTTATGGGTACAAACAAGTACCAATAGGTGATTCCTGAGCGTTGAAAGAAAAAAACAACTTGGGATCATTTTCTTTCACTAATAAATAGTAGGTGAAATGGCAGTATTTCTTATTTCTGACAAATCGTTTTAAAATAGTTAGTACAATTCTCCTGTGTAACACATGATAGCTATCGCTGCTCATCACAAACAGATAGTTTTATTTTATCTACCTTTATACATATGATTTCACCATAGTTTCACTTAGTTTCATAGAGATACGATTAGAAATTACTGCATGTATTAAAGCGATATGACAGTTTACGTGAGATTTACAAGATATAAATTCCTACTCAAAATACTTAAACAATCCATCTATATCGTGTTTCATGAGAATATATGTAAATAGTAGTTCATTTCGATGAAGTTTTGATAATAAGTCAGAACAAAAGTAACACATATCTGATTTTATTCTTGATTTATCCAATTTTTAACTAAATGTATCGTGAAGTCGTTCCAACGTAAATTTAATTCTTTTACATATTTTTATATAATTTTTAGTGATAAAAGTGAAATTTTTTCTAAAATGATAAAGTTTTTTGTTTGGAAACATGTATTCAAAGTTTCACTTTATTTTGGTATTTTTACGAAGAATTCGTATTTAAAAACAATAACAGATATTCTTTTGTTCATAGATTAGTTGAACTTTTTTAATGATATTATGTATCTTCTTCAAAAATAAATTATCTATGCTGTACTGTTGACAACATCGAAAAGTATCAGTTACCAATCTGATCTATGCACTCAAAGTAAGAAGTACTGAATCGGCGGGCGAATCAGTTTTATTCTTGTTTACACTTTTGTTTTCTTAATGTTTCCAAGCAAACTGAAGCTGTTCAAAATTTCAAAATGTTAAAAAGAAAACAGAAGTCATACTTCGACAGTTTCGTTTTGTAATTTATAATATAGAACGAGGAGAAAAGAAAAGCCAAACAAATTCAGGGACTTGAAATCTAACAATTGATACAAACTGAAACTATTGCTCAGTTATTCGAGGATTTTCATTTGAGAGTATCTTTTTCGAAAAAATATACTCCTCATGGTCTAGAAATTAACTACTCGATTGGCGATCGATATAAGTAGGTTATTCTAGTAGGTTTCCTACAATAAAATCTATATATGCATCGTAAATAAAAAAAAGTCGAACAATACTGAATATTAATTTTGAACTGAAATATCAGCACAATGAGAATTTGTGCAATTGATAAGCACTTACGATCTTCTCGTTGTCGTTTAGCTAACTCTCTTCGTCTTTGATCTTCTAATTCTCTTGCTTTTCTCTTTTGTTCTTCCTCTTCCAATTGTCGGCGTCGTTTAGCTTCGGCTTCGCGTCGTTCTAATTCAATCCTTGTAATAAAAAAAGGAGGAATTTGAATTTCAAATTTCAATGAAAACTAAATCATTGTCATGTGTTCATAAGAAGAACAAAATATGTGAGAAAAATAAAAACATATGTTAAAGACAAAGACAAATTAACTAGCAAATAATCAATTAATACACACATAAACACGTATAAATAATTTGCATGTGCAATATTGTTGGATGCGTGTTTTATTTTTATTGTGCTGTCGAAAGACAGATCGATAGATACTTACTCATCATCAATTTTTCGTTTTTCAGGATCAATTTCAGGTGTTGGCCTACGGAAAGATTTGCGTGATGACTTTGGCAGTTTATTATTAGTTTGACTACGATTATTCTCATTATCATGAGGGAGCTTTCTTGTGTTCGATGAGTGTCTAGGTGAATCAATTGTAAATGGTTCTGTATCAACTGTTTCTTGAGTTTTTGAATGTGCTGATAAATTGGATTTATTTTTTCTCCGTTGATTTTTCATTGATAGTAGAGATGAGGAATTCGAATCGATACTTTCTGTCGATTCGTGTTTGGATCTTGATGTCTCTGGTTGTGTTGTATTTGAAGAATCGGGATAGGATGTCGATCCGATCGATGATGATCGTGTTAAAATTTGACTACTAGACACATAATGAGAAGACGCAGATAATAGAGCGAAAAAGATAAGAGATATATTGTCGAATTCTATTAGATTGTATCATCATACAATGATAATCTCCAATCTAATGAACTCGTAATAATATAATCAAGGGTTATATACACGAACGAAACAATATTAGATAGATAGATAGACAGACAAACAAGAAATAAGAAAACAAATAGGCATACGTTTCATGTTGTGAATCCTCATGTTCATTGTTATTATCAATTGACTTTGAACTTTTTGCACTTGATCTTTTACGATTTACACTGAAAATATGGATGGAATAAGAGAAAAAAAGAGAAGAAAACATAGTGTACAACAAGTATCTATGAAGCAGTATTGATTATGCGCACGTAAGTGAATATGCTTGTTCAAAACATAGAATTAATCAACAAACAAACAAACAAACAAACACGTAGTGCAATTATCTTACACACTGCTCCCTATGGGTGTTGGTATAAGTAAGGATCGTCGATGGATTGATTGATTTTTAAATGACGCTTGACTTTCTTTTTCAACTTCTAATACTGGATCCAACCTGTTTGTACCAAATAATCAATGAGAATAAAATAAAAATTTTGTATTAACTTAGATATGATATTTTTGCAATCATGCAAAATAATGGTGAAATTAAATCGGCACACAAGCGATTATATGCAAATGCATTCACACCAAATAATAAATAAAAAGTTAGTGTGGAAAAATCTACATAAAAAAACACTAACCCGTCCAATAAGTCATCATACTCATTACAATCATGAGTATCAATCTCCTCCTCCTCCTCCTCCTCATGCGGTTTTACTGTTTCTTTCTTTGATGTGTGAGATTTCGATGATAACATTCTAGCATCATCATTGAGAACGCTGAAGAAATAAATACGAATGTATAAACGAAGACAATTGTAATGAGAAAAGAAAAAGAAAAATTGGACAGTAAAGAATCATGCACAAAAAGTAAGTTTTATTCTTATTCACAGTTTTCGACATCGTCTGCTCTAGAACAGGTACGATGAGTAGAATGATCAGTTTCTATATTTAAGATTATAGAAGAGAATAAGATTTATTTCTAAATCTCAACTGATAATTTTGTATTACCTCATCGGTTTGTTGGCCAAAGCTAAATAAAGTGCGATGTAACCTGAAAGTGAGCTAAGGTAGGAAATATGATGTAAACGCTTATGAAACCGTAATAAAACGAGAGCTAACGAATCTCTAAATTTTCGATGAGCGTAGACAAGTAATGACTTACCTTCGTTTACGTTCGCGAAATGCTTGGCGATCTTTAAAGCCACGGTAAGATGCTTGAATTTTCGTTGCAGCTGCTTCTTGTTCTATTCGACGACGTGCAGCTTCGGCTTTTTCTTGTTCTAAACGGCGACGTGCCGCCTCAGCCTTTTCTTGTTCTAAACGACGACGTTCAGCTTCGGCTTTTTCTTGTCGATGACGACGTTCTTCGTCTTCTCGTCCAGTTAGAGCTTGTTGCTGACGACGACGTTCTTCTTCCTCACGTTCTGATTGAGCTTTCTTGTCTTCAGCAGCTCGACGCATTCGTTCGAGTTCAGCTTGTCGCTGACGAAGACGTTCTTGTTCTTCTTTCAATTTTGATAATTCCCTTGAAAAAAAAACGAAAATAAGAATTCAGTTGATTTTAAATTAAACAAATATTAGTTGTATGTTTGAATAAATTTAATAGCAGCAACATCACGATGTTTAGTTATTTAATTGTCACAAAAGTAAAACTAATTCATATTTATACCTCGATACAATACTTGTAACATGAGAAATGCTAGAAAAATAAATATCATCATCGTCATCATTCTTTTGTTCACTTTCAAAAAGTAAAATTGAATTTTCGCTTTTTTTTTACAAAAAGAAAATTATTTCTCTTTCACCTACTTAGTTGATGATTCTTCCGGATCTATAAATAAATAAATAATGAAAAAAATTAATTAAGGCGTATGTTTTCGATACTACGTATATATCAATTATAATTACCTGAACCAATCTGTGTAAGTTTTGTCCAACTTTGTCTTCCCGATGACGGATATTGTGATAATGAATCCTGCGCATTGACAGCCGGTAGATAATGTTTTCCACCACGCATTGGTCTACGATGAAAGCTTTTTGTTGGTCTCGTTGGTGATAATCGATCATCATCATGATCCGAATGATTTCGATTACGATTACCAAACATATAACTAGATGATGAGAGTGCAGGTGAAGCACAAGGAATATGTGCATAGTCTTCATGACGACCTTCTAGTAAATAGATCTAATACAAAAATGCAGAGTATTTTTCCGCTTGTAATTAAAAATAAACAGATTTTTTCAAACCTCAGGTGCAAATGTCTAAAAAAAAACAAATAATCCAATCAAATATTTTTCTATAACAGAATAAGCTTTTCTTCTCACCTGTGGTGGACGATAATTCTTAACTTTTAATTCCGTTTCTTGTCTTGGTTTAACTCTAGTCAAACATCTTCCGACAGATCGAAGAAAAATAAAATCTCTTGGAAAAAAACTTTCAGTTCCACATAATTGTGCGATGGATTGACGCAAATCACATATTTTCATATTAGGTGATACACTACATAGTTTCAATCAATTAAAAAATGTAGAAAAAAAAATTGAATCTTGTATATTTTTACTGAACGAAACCGGCTGACATGGCTTCATCCATTGCTTCATTTTCTGCTAAATGTTGCACATCTTTCCAAACGTTTTTTGGAATAATATAAACATGTAAATCAACAAGCTATGGATAAACAGATAAACAATTAAATAAAGTGTTTTATTTTATTCATTCTAACAATACTTGTGAAGAATCAGGCCGATCAGTTGTAATAAATCCTGTACGTGAACGCTCACTTGTTAATAAATTCGGTAATGAATTAAAGTGTTCATTTTCCAAACGAGGTTGAAGCATGTTCAGCACTATTTTCTTACGATCAACGTTGATTTATAAAGATGATAGTTCTTTTCGCTTTTATTTTATAATTCTTAAATAAAAAAAGAAAAGAAAATGAAGTTGTCGTTGTTGTTTTTAGCTAAAGAGAATGAATGAAATGCCATGTTACTTTTCTTCTTAACAGCTTGATGCAGAGAGACACATACACCAATATATTTCTTTTCTTCTCATTTTTTTAAAGTTCTCTTAACGGACAAACTAAGAAACGGAATACCTCAATATGTCTTCTCTTTCCCATACTTCACTATCGTTTGCATTTTTTTTTGATTTCATCTATTTGTACAAGCTTTATTCGTCGTTATTCATAAAGAAAAAGAAAATAGAAGAGGAAAAAATTTGACTTCTAATTTTTACCATTCAAACTTATTAGTAAAGTAGTTTCTTTTTAGAGACGGCGTAGCATTAGAAGTATACTATAGTTCTTTTCCGTTGACAGACGTTTGACAAATACATTCTACTAAATAACATATTTATGTATAGGCAACACAGCTATATGATATTTAATATTATTCAATCATATAAAACTAACACGTAGAAACGAGAAAACAACAGAGATCTTCGATTTCATCCTATTCATGAGTTGTTTATCAATCGACTAAATCAATTATCATTGAAATACGAGTAGAACAACTCACGCAATCGGTTGTTAAGCGATGTGACATTGAGTATAAAACATACATATTACGGAACGAGAAAAAGAAACCTTTTCGAAAGTAAGATAAACTAATTTGTAATTATAAATATCTGTTGAAATACAATAAACGATTCGCGGTTAATCCTGCATTGAACAATAAAATATTATTCCCTAGTGAAAAATGATTTGCTAATTATCATTCTAATTCATATAACAAAACTCTTCAACTAGTTTTTTTTATGACCGAGACTGTGTATGACATGTAAATGTAGCTTGTCAAAGATGTTTTATTTCGAAGTTAGATGTCAGAACGTTCGATTCCTTCCCCCGACACTGGAGTAACTGTCTAATTCGAGTTCGAATATAAATGGAGAAAAGAAAAAGTTGAACTAAAACCAAATTTAGGAATAGATTTAGTGTTAGTTTAACTTTCCGATATATGCGACATATGAATCCATATATACCCTTCACCCACAATTACCCCTTAGTTCCCCTCAATTCACACCCACTCCATCTTAAACTAAATCTAAATCTAAAACTAAATATATTTCTATCACTTATTTTCAAATTGATACCATGCAGTTGAGTGTTTATTTATATTCGAATTCGAACTAGGCATCTCATGCGGCACGGTGTCATCGTTTACAAGATATATGGTATCGGAAGAATAAACAAAAAGGAAGAACAGCAATGCACGCCGATTACGTCATCACGGCGTCGATTTTTCGATTATATTCTGTTTGTTTTCTCTACCATGTGATTCTTTCTCTGTTTGTTATTGTAGCTTGTATGCTTGCGCCTATTTTCGTAAGCGTCCGCAAAAATTGTATAGAAAACCCAAAAAAAATATATGGATGTCACAAATAAAATACGCATAATCAAAGAACAAAAAGATGTTTTATCGTAACAACATGACTATAACACAATTGCAATACATTATAAATCTGTCAAGATGAAGGCGTATTATTTGATTTATTTGAGAAACGAAGATTTAAGAGAACGAAAACATCATCGAACTCGACGGTTACAGTGGCAACGTATTTTGAAAAAAGAATTATTTTGAGTGTTTGTTTTTTAGTGAAGGCGTCAAGTCAAGACTACACAACTAATTCTCTTTATTTTCGTTCTATAAATATGAATGGTTATCCAACAAAATATTGCATAAGATTTTAGTTGAAACTTTTTTCAACTATCACATGTTATTCGTAATAATCGTTGTATCTTTAACGCGTAAAAAAGATAAGGATTTCAGTAATTGAATTCATATTCAAATGAGTATATTTAAAAACAAATAAATATTAAGAAAACAAGAGTTTTTACTATGAAATGTTAGTTTTTATAAAAGCGAGATCAATATCTCTATGTTACATTTTAATGAAATACTCTGAAGTCTCTGTTAACTTATTCTCTCAGAAATATAGTGTGGTATTCTTTATTTATATGAATAACTATTTGAACATCGAAAAGCCATTTACTTTGTATTAAAATGTCTATTCAATCAAGGTTTTTCTTTTGATAACAATCTTATTTACATACGAGATATCATAACAACATTTGTACATGACGTAAGGTAAATTGATATTAGTAAATATCTAGCAGAAGTATATTTACTAGTATTGATTAACTAAGATAATTTACAATCACGAACTATAAAATACATCGAGATCATTATCGAACATGGTAATAAAATCATACGAAAGAATTCGTATCAATTGAATCTTCGTTGACTTAGCATGCAAATATATTCGTAAATATGTTAGTTATGCTCTTGAGAAATTTTTCTCCATTCAAAATATTCTATAGATTAGTTTTTAATGAGAATGTGAAAGTTATTTTCATAAAAGAAATAAATTCTATGAAAGAATACTTACAAACAATGAAACTGGCAGAAAGAAAACAACTGCATATCTTGAATTTCAAATTATCGAATGCTTTCAAAGAATTAATATTATTTGACAATCTTTGGAAGACATAATATTATTGTGAATACGTTCCAATAATAATTATCTTATTGCAATGATATCTATCGCTCAAACATTTGATTGTAGTGTTAATTTCAATTGCTATTTTTTTTCTTTTTAAAGCTTCATATGCATGTTTTAAAGAAAATAGCTTTTTACCAACAAAATCTTCTTTAGAATCCAAAGATATAGAAAGTTTGTCTTCTCGATAAAATTAAAGTATCATTAGTTTATACGTGATTGTAAGCAATGAACACATTTACTTGATAATTCTTGACCATGATTTTTATGAAGTACCAAAAAAGCATTTTTTTATGGATGAAGTCACATACATTAAATAAGAGTAGTACTCATTAGTATTTTTCTCAAGATATAACATTATTAATTACATCTTCATCTCAATAGGTTTCATATCGATTCTTGTTGCACTATAAATAATAGGAATTAAAAAAATAATTCTTCAAGAAAGAGTACCATGAAATAATAATTGAAATGAATAAGACGTACTATGCAAAAGTTTCTGACTATCATTTCAAATCAAATAGAATTACAGGTAGTATTTCAAACAAAATTTGTAGTCATCTGGATAATTTTCTCAAAAGTTGGCAGACGACTAATCAAGTCAGTATAGCTTACTAACAAGATATAAATGATTGATCATACATTTTACATGATGAAAGTAGGTCTCCTTTACACTGAGAAAGTCAGTTAACGTTGTCAAAGTATATTAATATGAAAGAGTAACTAAAATTAGCAAATAAATGGTATTGAAACTTGTAATTTATAGATATGATAAAAACTGCACAGTCATAATATTTGACTCGTTTAGTACTGCCATCTGTTGAAAGTTTAAGGAGATAGGTCACAAGTAACAACCTAAACTACAGTTCGCCAAGGATATCTTAGGCCCCAAACAGACCAAAAAGATAAAACAGAATTAACCATTAAACCGTCTCAAAAAGATGACTTAAGTGTGAATTAACCAATCACGTTGCTTAATTCTGTTTTATTTTTTTGGTCTGTTTGGGGTCTTACTATCATTTGAAATAGAAATCTTCTACTATCGAAATACAAATGTTTACAAGTCAATGCAATGTGATCCGAGGTAGAGTATCCGACGCTATTCACTGTATTTGAAGGAGATATTCCTAAAGTCAAATGTTATAGTCTCTTCTCTTGTTTAAAATTGATCCTTCGGAGAGTAAGCAATTAAGAGAAGCACATGAAAGAATCCAGAAGATTTCGTTTTTAATGAACAACATCACCGTTCTGTACATTTTTTCATTTCGTTAGATAATTTTAATAGTCAAAGCCTATGTTCGACTGAGACTTGTATCATCCTCGTAAAAACTCTATCTGTCAACCATTATTTTCTCTTATTTATGTTCGAAAAAACGAACAGTTGAATTGCGTCTCGATGAAGGTCATTTTCATGCATTGAAGTATTCTGATACAAATATATAAATCAATTGTATTTAGTTGTGAATTATTTTAAAACGCGAAAGATTTCGAAAAATATCCAAAATTACCTATACAAATTACATGAATCAGTGTTTTTGTTAACAAACCAATAACATGACATCAATAGATTCTAATGAAATCTTGCCATTCATTCAATTTAACGGTCAAACATCACGTGAACGTGGTTATGAACATGGAACAATCTTGTCCGAGCGCATCGATAGATCTATAAAGATCTATCGTGAACAATTTTCTCAACAAAACAATTTTAACGAAAAATATATTTTACAGCTATGTGAACAGTATCGTCGAGGTATATCACTATTTTCGAGTGACTATCTAGAGGAACTTGATTCAATAGCGATTTCATCAAAGCAAGATCCATTATGGATTATTGCATTAAATAGTCGTTTAGAAATCTTAAATCATTTAGCATTTGGTATACAAAATGAATGTACAGTCTTATATGATAAACAAACATGTCGATTAGCTGAAAATTGGGATTGGCTACAACATTTTGAACATCTAGCATTTATTAATTATATAAAATCAAACGAAATATTACAAATGACTGAACCTGGTGTTCTAGGAAAAATTGGTTTCAATTCATATGGCATTGGAGTTACTCTTAATTTTGTTGATTCATCAGCTCAATCAGCAAATCCTTTAAATATACCTTTAAATATCACATTAAGAACTGTACTCGATCAAGCAAAAACTTTCCAACAAGCATTAAATATATTTGAACAAAATGGACCAGGTTTCGGTGGACACGTTCTTGTTGGTAAATAAAAAACTTGCCTTTTGATTTGTATATAGTTTTTTTTTCTTCAATCGTCGCTTTAGGTGACGATAAAAGTCAATGCTGTTGTGTAGAGCTTCCAGGTGATAAAGTTCATTTTATTCATGATCATCCGTATCATACCAATCATTTTTTATATACTACGAATAATGATCATATTAAAGATAAGGCACGTTATCAAAATTCACTAGATCGTTATGAACGAGTTAAAAAACTGTGGACAAATAAGAACTCATTAGAATCAATTTTGTTTGATCATAATGATACTCAAAGATATCCAATTTGTCGATCATATAAACCAACAAGATTAGGTCATATTGGAACAGTTTGTTCATTAATTATGAATTTAAAAGAGAGAACAATGAATATTACTAAAGGAAATCCCATACAGTATCCAAAATTTCATCAATTCAAATTAGAGCAAGAAAAAGACTCAAATTAATCAAATGATTTAATTAGAAAAGTAATCATTAGGTTATAAATTCAAAAGGCTTGCCATCTCATAGCAAAAATCAATCGTATACTTATTATTGTTCATCACTGAAACTCCTAAAGATTGTATTTTTCTCGCTCTGTAATTGTTTCTAAATGAGGAATATATTCTTTATCTAATTATGCAGTATTGTTTTCAGAATCAAGAATTATTTGTGAGGTAGAACATGATGTTCAATCATGATGGATACAACATATCTTACACTAAAAACAAAATCCCTATTTGGTCAACGGTAGGGATAATATTCTTTTATCATCCACAAATAGGGGATTTCTTTAGGGATGCATCTGAGGATGACGATTTGTGGTAACATATGATGCGTTCGGAGAATATCCCCGGAAACTCGATTAAGTGCTAGGGAACCAAACCTAGCAGATATAGGAGATATATTTTTTTCTCTTTCATCTCTTAATTTTATTTAATTATAACTCAACTAAAATAAAATTTTCTTGCACAGATATTACTGATATCAATATTTATTTTTTCAATCTTGCTCGTTGTTTATCAATCTCCTATATCTCCTATATCTGCTAGGTATGGTTCCTTGGCACTTAATCGAGTTTCCGGGGATATTCTCGGAACACATCTAATCTGTGGTAAATGATAGACATTTTTGTTGGACCTATCCAAGATATTGCACGATGTAAATTTATATTATTTTGATGAAATTTAATTGAATCTGAATCTGAATTTTATGTTTTTTTCTCCTTTATATTGAGCCTTTGACAAAAAATGAATCTGAAATAATTATTAAAACTAATTAAGTTAATTTACACAAAAAAAGGGAAAAAAACAAATATAAATAATAAAAACTTTAGTCGAATTGTTTTGTCTCGAATGTTTATTTATTGATTAAAATAAACTCGAAGACGATATTTAGAGTAAACATTGGAATCCTTAAAATATGATATGATTTATAAGGAAAAATCGTTTTCTAGATACGTATAAATCTTCAATTACCGAGGTTCTTCTTATCATCTTATTAGATTTGATCAAAACTAGAAATCATGATGTTTTCGTCAGAAGAAAAACATATCAAATGATGATTTACCAATTTAATGACATTGGACCAATACAATAGATTATCAACAATGATCCAAATTCAATTAATCATTATATTGTCGAAGAGACTAATTTGATATGATAAAAGGGCGAGTTTTTTTTAAACATGCGCCGTCGAAAGTCGAAAGGTCTTCAAAGTCTACATCAGAAAATCTGTATTGACCCTATTTCATGATTTTTTTCTTGTCGGCAAAAGTGACAACCTATGTAATGTTACTATTTCCAAACTGCATCGAGTATAACAGAAATGTTACGAACGCTGTTAAAAATTCCTTCTTTATTTCTGAACAAACTTTCATAACAAGATAATAGAGCGTCAGAAAGCGATAATGATACATCATAAGTATCAAGAATGTTCATGGATAATCAGCTGAGGGAAATAATTTCGAAACGTACCGGAGTTTACATCGACTTTATGCGGATGGAATGAAACTTTCATAGTTTGTTGCGCTTGTAACTGTAAGTATAGCTGCAAGCATAATAAATTTTAAAAACCTTGTGCAGCGGTCAAAACGGGGGGTCAATTTTTGGATCTCCCAGCCCAAATCTGATTTCTGGAATTTCTCCATTTTAAATGATAGAGAGCTGACACTTTTAGAGTAGATACTATTCAATGAGACGATCATTTCATTAACCGGTGACTTTTTTGTCCGACATTTTCCTCGCATAAAAACGTTTCTCACAAAAATCAACTTTTTCGAGTTTTTGGAAACTAAATATCTTCAACAAGAAAGCATATTTAATTAACGATTTTATATGCATTAGGATTACCCGTGAGTGGGGATGGGCTGTGAGTATGGTTGTCGGTGTCCGTTTCGAGGGGTCTTCAATTCAAACACACCCACACCCACACCCTCTTACTTTTTTTATTTATGTGGTTTCAGTTTTTTTGAATAATTGTGGAAAAAAAATAACTAAATTTAAAAGAACGTACAACGAAAATCGGCTGTTTCAGATTGTTTGTATGCCCAGTTTCACTATGAATCAATATTTAGGGATGAAATTTTCTAATGATATACTATAGATAATGTCTGTACTTTCGGCGCAAACCATATCTCAGAAGTCAACTGTATGAGAAAGTTATACTTAAAATAAAATCGTCCAAAAACGTTTTTGTCCAGTATATTATTACTTGAAAACTACGACATCGGATTACATCCATATTATGATAAATTCGGTGTTCTTTTTAGTTTTCTGATTATAGAATGAAAGAAACTTTTCTTAGTCGCTTTATATAAAATAGTTGACTTCTTGTAATTACAACGACTTTTTAATATAAGTATTAACCAGGATAGAACTATGCTATATTCTCTCTATTCATATCAATAATCGTATTGTTTCAGTACAAAAACACGCTTTTACATGTACAAACAAGAGAGAGAAGGAAAAAAAAGAGAAAACGACAGGAGAATAGATATATAGGAATAACAGGAAGTGTAATTATGAACGAGAAAACATGTATCGGTTTCGTTACAACAAAATATAAAATAGTTAATGATTCACAATTAAGAAAGAAGAAAGAATAGAGCATTTGGTAACAAGAAATGACAATACAAAGTTAAACATCATGTATAAACAATTAATTCAACTCAGAAGTCGAAGTAGTTAATGAGACACAAAGAATTAAGTTAGGAACGTCTCAGTAATTGTAAAGCTATCGATTGAATATTGATTTCGAAATTCATGAAATATAATGATAAACCTTATGGAATAATAATGTTCCTTTTTTAAACTTTATTTATTATTCTTGCTATTTTTATTTGATCATTCAAAATTATTCTTTATTTGCTGCAATTATAGATTTTAAAATACCTATTGTTCTTTTGAGACGCCATATCCAGTAAATATTAAAACTTCCTTGACATTTGTTGGATATCGATTGTGATAATTCATGTTGCATCCTTTTTAATATAGGGTTCAGCTGATCCAATAACATGTTAATATTAGACGATGAAAATATTGTTTCATCCAATGTTAAAGCATGACTTGAAGGCAATGAATTAATGTCGACTTCACAATCATTGATATCTGAATTGCTATTTTGTGTTGAATCTGTTCGACAAAGTAGATCCGAAGCATTTTGATCGGCTTCATCATTTCTGACCTTGGATTTGCTGATTGAAAAAAATGTATTTTCGCTAGATTGATCATGTCCGTTGTTGCATGTTGCCATGAAGTCGTCCGAATCAGTGTTGGTGGCGACTGTTTTTTTAGATCGAAGTCCTAGTATACTATCAAGTACATCAATAAACCCTGTGAAGGGGACCATTGCGGATCCGTCCTTTATAATGGCCGACTCGAATGTATTCATTGGTATATCCCTGTTGTCCGAAATCGTTTGAGATGATGTTTCAATCATTGTACAGCTGTGATTCTTCACGATATTCATTGTGATGCTTCGTATTTATAGATGATTTAACATCGTTTACTTTTCGCTTCTTGATTCCATCTTTTCTTTAGACAGCATTTTTTTTTCTTTCTCGTATCTTATCTTTACAACTCCATTGATTGAGTATCATTCAAAAATGTATTGCCTATCTGTTCTCTCTCCCAGCAACATATACAAGCAAATGTTCTTAGTATAAACAATGAAGAAAGAAGAGAAACATGATATACTAATTAGCGATGCCATGTCGTTAGAGAAGACAACAGAAAAAGAACACCTATTTGTTAAACAATCGATGAAACCAATAAATCAGAAGCAAATGATGATATATCAGCTAAAATCAGGAAACTCTACAATGAATATTATTACCCTAGTGTGCGTGATGGTATGTCAGATTAGAAGAGCCCATTCATTGTATCACTTCATCATTCAATCAGTAAGGTTCACATTACATTTTGTTCTTCATAACTGTAAAAATCAACATTTCATCACACAGAATATAGATATGAATGAACAAAAAACTCACATAAACATACGATTCTGATAGAAAATTGATATCAAAATGCTCTATAAAAAAAATCTACATCTTTGTGTCTTCGTTATACTACAATATAGAATCATGATTAGTTGAAAAATCAAATTTCGAAAGCTCGAAAACACATTAATCATAGATCAAAATTTTGATTGATGAAAGTAAAAGCCAAATGTTAAATGATTTAACTATGTAATCAAATTACTCGAGAATATAATGGGAAACATAATAAAGATATTTTTCTTAGATATAATAGATTAAATCTAAAATTCCAATGACATGAAGTATTCCATCACAATAACATTTTTATTTCAGCTGAAGTATAATCTATTACTATATAATGTATATTGTACAATACTCTACTTATATAAAACAATCATTGGTATTCTTCTAGATTCATTTATTTAAAGATAGAATAGCATAAAATCAATGTATTTTGATAGAACATTGTCAGAAAAATTATTTCTAATGAATAAATTATACTTTTGATAAATTCCAGAAAAATAGCGTAAGTTTTACTTATATGGCTTTTGATCAGTTATAATGAACTATGAGGCAATGTCCATAGAAGTTCATTCATATTGATAAGATTTTAATTTTTAAACAATATAATAGTTCATCAATTTTCACTCCTGTTTCAATGTCATATTCATTAAAAGATCCATTGATTATTCATTATTGTTATAAATACTACTTTTTAAGGTATTTAGTTTTGAATAATACTTATCATGCTCACACGATGATGGGTTTGGATGGAGATGGGGCTTGTGCTTCATGTCTTTCATAAGCAACCACACCCTAGGAATTTTAGGAACAAACATAGCTTTTAACTTTCCAATTGTTTTCATACTTTTACTTTTCGACTTGTTTAGTTTTAATAAAGTTTAGATAATCATTTCAAACAGCATTAGAAAAATGAATCATTCTCGAGAATATTGATTAGCCAAATGTTGACTTTGGATTGGATAAAGAAATCTAGAAAAACAAATTCTAGAAATAATGTTAAAAGAATATTTCGCAATATAACTAAGGTAACGATATAAACAAGGCAGGAAGACGGAAAAAATGCACTCGTCAGCAAATAAAGATATATCCAACTCGTTATTCAACAGTATAAAAGCTGATGCGTTTTGTATTTTTACTCAAATATTATATTTTGCATAATCGTATTGTAATTATAATAGTACTTCATTTTTATTTTGTGAAACTCACTTGTTTTCGAAGAAAATAATGAGTGTAAGTTGTATAACGAGGTTTTGCGGCTGGGGCGGGGGGGGGGGCGCCCCCCCCCCCTAGGTCCCAGCAACCAAATGGCGGGAAATCAATATTTTTTGGATAAATTTTCTTAGTAACCTGAAGGTGGCAAAATAAAACATTATCTCATGAATTTCCATAGCAACGAGAGAATAAAAGTAATAATAGTGTTTAGATCATTCTGGAAGTCTGTAGATTCTAACTGTTTTAAATATGGAAGGGAAGAGGAGGGGACGAGATGAGCATTAATGTAGCAAAAGCATTACATTTTGGTGTCAATCAGTAAAATCATAAAATGATTAGTCTAACTAATATAGACTAGGAAGATATGGAAAAGTATAGGCTTGTCCATTGAAGTGTAGCCAAAACTTAACAATATAAGCCAAAAATCATGAAAAGAAAGAATCTAGATTGGGTGATCTAATGAACGATTAAATCGATGTACATAAGAGGCTAATATGGTAGTTAAACCAACAAAATGAAGAATAGATTAATATTTATGCTTCCTTATGTCATTCATCGTATATGGTATGATTAGGAGAAAAAATAAAGTATTCAAAATGTATAAGACAAGATTTACATAAATTTTTTAGTACAACAATGCTGAATGAATCAAATTAGTCGATAGAAAAATAAATATCAATGAGAATATTTGAAAGCGCACATATCAGTTATAAAAATAATTTTAATTTTGAGTTATTTGACATTTGTTAAAAATAAATTCTCTTAGGCTATCTAACAATATAGAATAAATTTATTATATCCAAAACGGTGAGTTTCACATTTAGCACCGACAGATGCTACACTGACAAGTTTTTCTCTGTGTCTTATTGTTAATTGGAATGAATCATACATTGTTTAGATCGAGATACTCTTGATGAAACACCTATTGGTGAATTTAGATTTGATTTCTATAAATAAAATCTCTGGGTTAGTGTTGTTTTATTAATCAATCAAAATATTATAATTGCTTGAGATTATCAATAAATGGTTGAGTAATCAGTTTGATTCTAAATTAAAGTAGATTATATAACAAATTCGATAATTATAAATTAAATTTTTCAACTCCTATAAGCTGTGAAGTTACAATAAAACATTTGAGTAATCAAAATATATTTCATTTAAAGTACCTCCTGTCTGAATCCAAGTCAGATTTTGAGAAAATCGGAGGTGATGAATATTATTGAAACTTTAGTATAGATAGAAAAATATATAAAAAACGAATGCGAGAAATAGCTTTGAAAAATATACTGATTAATTCTATAACATAACCTAAACTAATCACGTATGTAATGTTAGCACCAGATTCGCGTATTTCGCGTCCGGATTCGCCTACTGCGTTGTGCTGGCTCTCTCACTCGTTGTGCTGGATTCAGAATTTCGAGCTCTATCTGCCGACGGCGGTTTCAGTCGAAATCGTCAATCTAGGACGAGGTTTTCCCCGAAACAGGACGTCGAATCCATCCCTTTAGGAGAATATCTCGTCAGGATTCGCCCAGATTCTTGTGCTGATACTCTATTTGATTGTGCTGGATTCGGAATTTTGAGCTCTATCTGCCGATGTCAGTTACAGGGGAAATCGTCTATCTAGGACGAGGTTTTCCGCGAAACAGGACCACGAATCCATTCCTTTAGGAGAATATCTCGTCAGGATTCGCCCAGATTCTTGTGCTGATACTCTATTGATTGTGCTGGATCCGGAATTTTGACCTCTATGTGCCGATGTTTGTTGCAGGTGGGATCGTCGATGATAAACACTGGTTATCCGCGAAATACCAGCAGAGGGGCATTTTCTCTGATAAAAAATGGTTTTCCAATTCGCGGAGAGATCGGTGCTGATACTGGAGTTGGTTGTGGTGTTTTCAAAAGTTTGGCTAGATGGAATGGTCTAAAGTTGGGATTGATTTCGTCAGAACTAGTTTGATTTTATTGTGCAATATCAGGGAAAGACTGTGTCGTGTGTGGAATTTGGTTGCGGTAGGCTATTTGAGACGCCCAGGGATAATGGTTCGATAGGTGTGTAGAATGTAGTTCTGTGACGATGGAGAATCTGGGTGTTTTGGTAACTGAAACATAAGTTCTATTTTTGCTTTCTTATGGTTGTTTTTGCATCAGAAAGATGTTTCATTGATGGTGATGTTTTTGNAATACTGACGTTTTTTTCTCCTAAAGGGTTGTATTCGGGGTCCTTTTTCGGCCAGACCCTTGTGCTGATGCTCTACTTGATTATGCTGGATTCAGAAATTCGAGCTCTATCTGGGTATGCCGGTTTCAGGTGGAAATGTCGATGTAAGCGGTCATGATTGCCGAAATACGACCTCGTCTCCATCCCTTTAGGAGAATATCTCGTCAGGATTCGGCCAGACCCTTGTGCTGATGCTCTACTTGATTATGCTGGATTCAGAAATTCGAGCTCTATATATCGGAAGAGCGTAGTGNTGCGCTGATGCTCTACTTGATTATGCTGGATTCAAAATTTCGAGCTCTTTCTGGCTATGCCGGTTTCAGGTGGAATTGTGGACATATGAGGTCATGATTGCCGAAATAGAACCTCGAATCCATCCCTTTAGGAGAATATCTCGTCAGGATTCGGCCAGACCCTTGTGCTGATGCTCTACTTGATCGTGCTGGATTCAGAATTTCCAGCTCTATCTGGGTATGCCGGTTTCAGGTGGGATTGTGGACATATGAGGTCATGATTGTCGAAATATGACCTCGAATCCATCCCTTTAGGAGAATATCTCGTGAGGATTCGGCCAGATTCTTGTGCTGATATTCTGGTTGATTGTGCTTGAAGCAGAATTCGAGCGGTATGTGTCGATGTTTGTTGCAGTTGTGATCGTCGATAATAAAGAGGGGTTATCTGTGAAATATCAGCAGAGGAACATTTTCTCTGATAAAAAATGGTTTTCCAATTCGCGGAGAGATCGGTGGTGATACTGGAGTTGGTTGGGGTGGTTTGAAAAGTTTGGCTACATGGAATTGTCTAAAGTTGGGATTGATTTCGTCAGAACTGGTTTGGTTTTATTGTACAATATCAGGGAAGACCGGGGCGTGTGTGGAATTTGGTTGCGGTTGGGGATTTGCGACGGCATGGGATAATTGTTCGATCGATGTGTAGAATGTAGTTCAGTGGCGATGGAGAATCTGGGTGTTTTGGTAACTGAAACATAAGTTCTGTTTTTGC